AAAATATTTTTTAAAATTATCAAACCTTTCAATTGCCTTGAGACCCAGATCTGGACTTGGACGCCAATTACCACCACCCTCCGTTTCTGGGAGAATTCAGCACCCGTGCTCCATTAAACTCCGTTAAAAGGGATAATTAGCTGGATACTGACAGTAATTTAGCCAGTTCGTTTATCAGAAGAGATAAAGCCAACCTGAAACACGTTAATGTGAGGGTCTTAAAACCGGTATTATTCTGTGCTGCTGTGCAACAAATGTATCGCCAGCGGAAGGGACGCAGCCCACGGCGTTCGTCGGGATTGCTTGGGTGTAAATAAGGTTTTGCTTCATAAAGTCTGGCTAGGGCGAACAAATGATTTAGTTCTCATACTACAGCCAAATTAAGAGCTCAAATGTATAAAAGTGTGTAAAAGGGTGTAGCTAAGAATCGATTGTGGATCACCGAAGCATTTAATCACTGTTTTACTAATCTCCCCGCACTATCTGAACTCAGACTGACTCCTCACACTAAAATCAATGGCGCTAATATACTCATTAACGACGGCTCTTTCGGAGGAGCGAAACCATCCAAGTTTGAAAAACTGACTGGGGGCAGAGGAGCTGAAAGCTGCAAACAGCGCGTGGGCTTGTGCTCCAAGGCTTCCTGGGGGAGCAAGAAACTCTAAAAATTCCCTTACAGGAATTTCACTGCAATCTTCTACCAAGGGCAAGCAGCTGTGCCTACATGGGTAACAGCACATCCCCAAGGCGGGGACTGAACCAGGACCCATGGATCTACAGCCAGGGCTCCTCTCCGGGGTGAGGCTCGAGAGCCAGCTTCAACGCTCAGCACTGCCCGCACCGGGGGGTTCTGCCCCCCCAATGCTCAGCACTGCCCGTGCCAGGGGGTTCTGCCCCCCCAACGCTCAGCGCTGCCCGCACCGGGGGGTTCTGCCCCTCCAATGCTCAGCACTGCCCACACCGGGGGGTTCTGCCCCCCCCCCAAACGCTCAGCACTGCTGCCCACACCAGGGGGTTCTGCCCCCCCTCAACACTCAGTGCTTCCCACATGGGGGGTTCTGCCCCCCCAACGCTCAGCGCTGCCCGCAGCGAGGGCATTTGCCCCCCCCAATGCTCAGCACTGCCCACACTAGGGGGTTCTGCCCCCCAATGCTCAGCACTGCCCACACTGGGGGGTTCTGCCCCCCCATCGCTCAGCGCTGCCCACACTGGGGGTTCTGACCCCCCAACGCTCAGCACTGCCCACACTGGGGGGTTCTGCCCCCCCATCGCTCAGCGCTGCCCACACTGGGGGGTTCTGCCCCCCCAACACTCAGCACTGCCTGTGCCAGGGGGTTCTGCCCCCCCAACACTCAGCACTGCCCACACCAGGGGTTTCTGCCCCCCCAACGCTCAGCACTGCTGCCTGCACCGGGGGGTTCTGCCCCCCAAAGGGTCACTGCTGCCTGTGCCGGGGGGTTCTGCCCCCCAACGCTCAGCGCTGCCCACACTGGGGGTTTCTGCACGTGCAAAGTGCCTTTGTTTCCTATTTCTGGTTCTGCTGCCTCACATCGCTCCGCAGCTCACAAGGCAGACGCTTCCCATCGGTTCAGGGGCTACGCAAGACCTTTTGGGGCAGCTGCTGCCTTTGCAGCCCAGGCTGCCTCTTTTTTATACTCTTCACCAGCAGCTGAAGTTTGCCGCATCTTCCTGCCAGGCTTCCCTGCATGGCTATCTCAGCCCTGACCTGCACATCTGACACTCCTGTCCCAAGACTCATTTCTCCAAAGTCTGTCAGTTTGGCTGTGATAGCTTCTGCTTGGCATCTACAAGCTCCAGACAGTCTCTCCCCAAAGGATTTTCTGAAAGACATTGAATTTCTGACCAAGGTTTCATCAGGCTGCCTGGAAAAGGATGTTGCTCAAAACTATTCAAAGATAGCATTTTCTTATTTTTGATGCAATTATTGAATAAATATCAGAATGCAAAATTGCCCCTGGGATTGGAAAATGGAATTAAATCTTCCAATAAACATGAGAAAATGGATACCGACGTCTCTATTAGCAACAAAATGTTTCATGCTTAGAAACTGGTAATCTAACACCCCTCCAGGGAATTCAGAACGGTGAGAAAAAATGGTCTAAGACAGCATTAGGAAGAAAGAGAGGTACACAGCGAGACACAAACTGGGTGTGTGGGGTGGACAGGAGGGCGTCCTCGTGTCGGTCGCACCTCGGTGTGTTCGCAGGCAATTCAGGAGGTCCTTAGGGGAAAGCAAGGGCCCAGACCTTCTGCGGTTCCCAGTGGTGCTGAGCCGCCACACTGAGCCCAGGATCATCAGGCGCAGGAGGTCCACCCCACGCAGGGTACATCCTCCGAGCCACTGGAGTGGTCACTAAGCTGTATCACCCCCATTTCACCCAAGCGATACAAGACCTGTCCCAATGCACACGGGAACACCTCTGTTGGGGACACGGTTTAGTGGTGGACTTGGTAATGTTAGATTAATGGTTGGACTCGATGGTCTTAAGGGTCTTTTCGAGCCTAAATGATTCTATGATCTCCAGTGTGCTGCTTTCCTACAGGACACGGGATTTTGCCTGGGCTCCCTTCCGAAGCCACAATCCTGGGATATAACCAATTCTTGGCATAACAGCCCAAGAGCTGAAGACAACATCATCAACCACGTTACATCATGCAGTCCAGAAGAAGAAGCACCATTTGGCATGGGGTGAAGCATGGCAAAAGTCAGCACGGCAAGTTTAGTGTTTTCCCCAACTTTGTTTTGTTGTAACACCAACATGGTCACCCTAAGGAATCACAGAATGGCAAGGGTTGGAAAGGACCTCAGGAGATCATCTAGTCCAACCCCCCTGCTAAAGCAGGTTCTCCTAGAGCATGTTACACAGGACTTCGTCTAGGCAGGCTTTGAATATCTCCTGAGAAGGAGACTCCACACGCCCCCGGGCAGCCTGTTCCAGGGCTCTGTCACCCTCAAAGTAAAGCTGTTCTTCCTCATATTCAACTGAAACCTCTTATGTTTCAGTTTGTGCCCATTGCCCCTTGTCCTGTCACTGGGCACCACCAAGAAGAGTCTGGCTCCATCCTTGTGACATCCACCCTTAAGATACTTGTATGTGTTGATGAGGTCCCCTCTCAGCCTTCTCTTCTTCAGGCTAAACAAGCCCAACTCTCTCAGCCTTTCCTCATAGGGGAGAAGCTCCAGTCCCTTTATCATCCTAGTTGCTCTCCTCTGAACTCTTTCTACGAAGCTCCCCTTTGCATTCACTGTCCAGAAGAATCAATAAATGACATCCCAGTTGCACAGGTCATTTGCACGGCTCCTGCGCTGGATTTTAATGATGGTACAATTCTCAAAGACAATATACAACCTAAAAGCACTTGTACACAACCTACAAGGTGCCCACCAGCCTGCCTTCCCTTCCCCTCCTCCTCCCGAGAGCACCGTTCATTTAAAATGGTTTACCCCGCTCTCTTCTATTCTGCATCTAATGGCTTTTGAACTTCAAAGAGAGGGGAGAAAACCCTACAGCTTCACCATGCAGTTAAATATTATGCAGCCACGTTACTGAAGAATACACTGCTAAAATAAACTCCCATTTGAACTCTTCCTACAATGTTTTTCAGAGAGCTCAAAACACGCTGCCCTTCTTCCCACACAGCGCTGAAGCACCTACTTCACTTTAACCAGGTACACGCTCTTCTTGGAGCCTAAAGGACTAATCATGTGCTTAAAATTATACATTTGCCTGCAAGCACCTCGTTGAATCCGAGCTTTGACGTCTAGAAGTTGCACGGTATAAATGGGACACATTATTCCTGGGTGAACGTTATACACACGTTGGCAGATACATTCCAAAATTATCTAAGAAATCAAACTATTTGTTGTTAATAGAACATGTCCAACGCCAGCAGACCGCTTGGAAAATCTAAAATTAAAATGTGCACAATGTGCTATATATTAATATGGATACCCCCCACAGACACTACGTGCATGCCTCATGTACACAAAACAGCAGAGCAGAAATGCTCTAAACATATATTGAGAATATATAAGATTTTAATTGTGGTTTTAATAACCGCAAGCTGCTGGAGCTACCTGCTTATTATTAGTCTTGAAAAGCAGCATGAAAATAATATTTTAACCTTTCATCTGTAGCATGGTCTTTGCTAATAAAATTATCTCAGAGTCATCCAAGCACATAGCTGGTGTCAACTACTTAATATGCAGAATAAATTAAATGCCACTTACATATAGCTAATTTCATCCACTTTCATGCTGGTCTTTATGCTGGCGCAGCCACACAACGAACACGGTCAAGCCCTGCGTCTCCTCCTCAAATCCTGCCCTTCTGCAAGAAAATCGTCCGATCTCCTGCTCTACTAACCCACCCCTTTGCAAGGCCACCGGCACAACGCCCTTCGTGCTGGGAGTGCTGAAACGAGCTCTGTCACACGTGCTGGCTCTTTGCAACTGCAAACCACTGCGCATTTATTATTAAGGAGACCAGGTCCCACTGATGACACTTGAAGTATTGTGGAAAGACAGTAACAGAGATCTGGGAAGAGTGGGGGACTGGCACACTCATATACCATTAACCAAACCATGCTGACAATCCTACTTCACCTTTCCAAAACAAAAGTCACCTTCATGAACAAACACCTTTATCTCCATATCAATTCAGCTTCAGGCCTCCCGATACCAGAAACAAACTCAGTGGTACTTTATCTGCCTTGCTGGTGGTGAACGTGACGTGTTCATGGGCGTCAGCAGAAAGACTCTTGATAACGGATTTATTTCCACGAGGTATTAAAATTCCTGATATTACCAATCAAATACAGGGAATGCCAGGAGGGATCTTTCCCAAAAGACCCCACTTTGTCCTCCTATTTAGTGACATATAGCAATCATTAATACACAGAACATACAAACAGAGATGAAAAAATGGAAGGTGCTGGACATAAAAAAAAACTTGTCTGCCAAAAATGTCTTTCACTACCTGCGGAATAAGGCTCCTGCTTCTCGCTGTGAATGAACTCTTTTCGTTCATATTTGGCTCTGATCCACTGTTCCCGCAGCAGTCTGGAAAAAAAAAAATACAAAGAAAAGGAAACATGGTCCAAGATACACTAAGGAAGAATCCAGAATCATTAATTCTTCAGTCAAAATACAAGTGTGATTTAAAAGTCTTCCAGAAATTGCATTGTACAGCCTGGCGTCAAAGGTTTCTTCTGTTTACTGTTGGACAACAATAAATCATTTCCTTCTACATCCAATTTTATTGGAAACCTATTTAATAAAATTTACAGATTTAGCAGAATAGCCCGTTCCCACCCACCCAATCAGGCTCTGTACAAAATTCCCTCAGTATATGAATGATTTTAAACCTAATTTCCTCAGACTACATTCTTCAGTAAATGAAAAAAACAACAAACTGCATACAAAAGAAAAATCTTTGCCCTGAAGGTATCAGTATGGAAGCAGAAATCTGAGTATGCCCTGTGCGATGCATGTACACGATGGCCTTTCGGCAGTCAAAGCTGGAGAGACATTGCCTCCTTATCACGCATGGGCAGTTATTAAAAAAAACTGTGATGCGTCAGGTTAAAATTATACTTATAACGACGAGGGGAAGCCCAGCCCAAGGATGGGTGACACTCATGACTCTGTAAACACGAAGCGTGCTGCAGTGTGCCATGCATCTCCCAAACCAGGAGCAACAGGAGTTCAAGCAAGAGGTGACCTCTTCAAAATCAAAGGGAAGTAGGATGGGTCATATCCCGGGCCCTGGCCAATCTCTTGGAAGGAACTGGGGTGTGAAAAGTGAAAAAGCCTCAAAAAGATCAAGAGAACATGTCTGGGTAAGGATGCAAGGGCTGAGCCCTGCAGAACACGGGACCCAAACACCAGAGAGTGGCGAGAACCCACCTGGCAGAGCTCTTCCAAACTCAATAGTTTGTACTGCTAAGTCTAAGAAAGAAATCTTTGATGCATGGCAGGAAACACGCCTATTACCAAGTCCTTTACTTTTCAGTTGAAAAGATACCAACGATTTATACACCAAGACCTTAATTTCCAAAAAGGAAAAAATACCCCAAAGATTATAAATACTTTTTTGCTATTCTATTTTAGGATAGCATGAATGCTGGAACTAATGAAGTAGTTTAGACCTAGACTATGCTAGGAATTGCTTCAAACCATCTTTAACTGCACTTAGTTCTTAATTGCCCTAGAACCTTAAATAGCCCAAGCAGGCAGAAATCAGACACAGAAATAAAAGCAGGTATCATCCCAGCTTCACAGCAGACATTTCAAAGTGGCCTACACCAATGACAGTAAAAGATCCCCCAGCACTGCGCGTACTCTGTAAAACCCATCACACTTCAACACATCAACGTCTCTGCCAATGAAAACTGTTGATATGCTTAATTCCCTTGTCTTTTTTTGCTGACTATGCAAATGTAATGCTACCCTTTCAGCAGACACTTTCCAGAAATGCTCAAAGAAGAGTACTAACATTGCTTATGAAAATTCATCTGCAGGTACAGCAAACACATTCATCAAATCTGCAAGACACTATTCAACAAGAACTGTGGCTGCAATTGGTTTCCTGGCAGTAAAGGAGGAAATAATTACATATATTTTGCCCTACTCATTGTTCCATCTCCTTGGTTGGGGCACCGGCCTTCTCCCACAAGGCTTGGGGAGCACCATAGCTTCCCTGCACCCAAAACCCAACTGTGAGCTTCTGCTGTAACAGAAATAATGCACCAACTCTGCCTTTCCCCCTTCTGTTCCTGTTTTCATGACTGATCTTTAGTTGTTACACACACATCTGCAAGTTTGACTGTGAACTCTGAAGATGAACACCCATCTCCCTTCTGCCGTCACCCTGCGCTATGCTCTGGTTTGGGTACAGCTCATCTTCAGTTATCTCAGGAGGTTCAGATGCGTTTTGTCACAGTGTGCAAGGGGGCTCTTCTGGGCTGAGCAGGATGCTCTTTCTGGATCTGATATCCACCACAGCAGCCTGCAAACGTAGAAGGCTGATGACCCAAATGGTAGCGCTTAATTGCCTGTTTCTGTACTTCTGCTGCTCATCAACAAAGCCACCAAAATTTAATCATAAAATCAACACAAATACTTCAATTTGTTACCCTTCCTGCAATTTTTCCAGCTCGGCTGCTGCAGACAGCTTGTTATCACCATAGCCAAACTTGGACCTTTTCAACAAGACGATTAGGGATTTAACTAGAAGCAAGCAAATGCACGCACCCTCGGCTCCAGCTGACTTCAGTGGAATCCGCAGGAGCTGCAGCTGTCCCGAGCCACGGAAAGTCAGCCTTCCACTACAAACGCTTAAATACAGTATAAATTAAGATTCACGGGCAGCCATGGGAACACGCTCCTGCCGTATAATGCGGAGGGCACAAGAGATGCGCTCTGCTGGCCTGGCGCCTGGGGGAACACCGCTCCGCAGCGACTTATTTCCCGTGACGCTGCCAACAGCAGTGCTTCGGTATCCCCACAGCTTCTGTGCAAGGCAGCGCGCATCGGGCAGCCATGAGGCACCTCGCCCGAAGGAGCACCCTGAGAAGCTGCAAAATGCTCTCAATCACCTCTCGCAGCGTTTGGGCCAGAACATGAGCGGCTCCGACGGCAGCTCCCAGGGCAGACAGGGCTCCAGCCGTGCTGCTTTCCCAGCTCACAGCAAGCACTTTCTGACAGTTCACACGTCCTTTCCCTTTCCTCATCATCACAAACCCAGGCTCTTTCAGGAATAATTTCCTAAAAACCAAGATACACCAAGAGCTGCCCACAGTTAGGACACAACTCAGCAAAAGGCCAGTAGCTGCAGCTTCTGCCCAGTGGTTATTTATAGAAAGCAGAACAACCCCAGCAAAAGAAACTGAAACAAAAACCCATCGAGGATGGTGAGGAGTCCAGCATCTCCCTTCAATGCTACAGAGAAGTTGAGCAGGGGCTTGACCACACTCACTTTCATGGGCTGGAGGCAATCCTGCCATAAAAAGCTGCTCTTGAGTCTGGCATTAAACCCTAGTTTCACTGGTGCATCTTGCATGAATTTAAACAGGAGCAGGAATTTGCTCAGATCTAAGGGATCTGAGAGCAACTGGAGGGCAGGGACCATCCAGAGGTCCCTCAAGCCATACAGTCTTCTCCACTATTTTCAGTGGACTTCAGACCTGATCTCCATTTCAGGCATGCCTTCAGGGGCCTTTTAAAGGTCTGTTGCTATGTTTTAGTTTAAATGTGTTTTTCCTAAGGTGAATATGTATGTAAATAACCTGGGGCAGACATCAACACACCAAATACAGGACCCTCCATCCAAACCCCTCCTTTGATTTTAACAGGAGTTGTGTGAACAGAAAGGACTGTAGCAACAGCCTCATGGTATTTTATTGCATTTCTGCTGATGGGTGGGATAATGTAGCAAATACGCCGCTCATGTTTGTTAGAAAAATATAAGTGCATCATTCCTAAACTGCAGAGATGCACAGCTTTCGGGATCAACCCCAAAAGCTTTAACAGCCCACCTAAAGTCTGGCAGGCTGCTGGTTACAGGGAATGTGTCATTTTTGGCAATTAGAACAGAAAGGTCTTTGTAATTATCAAGATAAAAACCTGGGAGCAAAGAACAAAATAAAATAACAAAAAACAAAAAACCCACACCAAAACCCTAAGGAAAAACCCCATTTCCAACAGAGTAAGGGAAAATTCATCTCCTGAATGGAACGGGACTGGGCTGCACCGGGGAGGCGGCAGGTCCAGAGGCTGACAAAGCACCGCCAACACCAAGAGCTCCAAATCTCATTTTAGGTACTTGTTTGCTTGCCTGGCCACCCACATGAAATCAAGTGCTCTCTGTCAAAGCGCCAGCAAGGAGGGTTTTAGTAGAAGCCAGTGGAGCCGTTTTATCTTGGTCCCACATACTCAAGCCTTATGCTCGCAGCAAAAAACACCACGGCAAAAGCTGTTCAAGCAGTTTTATATCAAACTGTGGCTGCGTGGCTTCACTGCGCTCTGCGGAGGAGCGCTGGCCAGCCAAATTCATAGGCTCCAATTTACTGCTACCCCAGACCCTCAGCTGGGCTGGCTTTCCTAGGGTGCACCACGGTGCACTGACCACAGACGCTGCATGGCTGCTATGGCTTTTTGGAGATGTACGACAGACAAGAGGCCCTAGCCAGAGGTGAAAGTGGCTCGAAAGACATCAAACACCATCTGCTACCACCCTCTGATTGCATCTTTGTGAGCCACCATCAAGTCCAACAAAGACAAAAGAAATTAATGTCATCCAGGAATACCATTTCCAAATTCATAGCGTCTGGAATTTGTCAGAGCTTTTTCCAGCAAAAAAACAATCTGCTTTCCACAGGCAGCTCTGTGGACGCAGCTATGCCAAGTTTCTGTCAAACAACTGTTTTAATGAAATTTTAAGTCCGAGTCCAAATTTTTGCTCAGACTGCAAGGAGAGCCACTGCAGTGTAGACTAAAAGCCTGCCTAGCTTCATGCTCTGCCTCCGCATCCAGTTAAGTCCTCACTGAGAGGACTTGCTTTTAAATGGCTTTGGGGAGGCAGGAGACAGCTGGGGGGCTTCTTCCAGGTGTCCCATGCATCACCCTGGCTTGCGGAGCCCCGGGAGCAATGTGCCATCCACCCCCACCAAGACCAGTAGCCAACAGCAAGCTTCTGGAGGACAGCAAGAGACAGGGAGGGGGTTTGGCTATCAAGGCATAAAAATCTTGCATTATGGATTTGAAGATGTTAAAGCCAAATTTGAGTATGCAAAATGATAATACCCTCAGTTAAAAAGCTCACTGGTTCCTTTTTTCTTCGGTTGTTTTACATGCACGGTCCAGTTCACCATGACACCATTTTTCAGAATGGTTAAACACAGATTAAAAACAAGTAGGAAAGAGCCTGTGTTGGTACTATCTTAACCTTGTAGCAATTTCCTTTCGATATTAAAGGAATTTATATGAATTAACAGGCTTACAAGCTAACAACAAAAAGAAAAATGAATGACAAGACGAGAAGACCCTGCGGCTGGTTGGGA